ACTCTTGTAGGACACTCTTGTGGGACACTCTTCTGGGACACTCTTGTAGGACACTCTTGTAGGACACTCTTGTGGGACACTCTTGTGAGACACTCTTGCGACGTCACTTTCAGGACACTCTTGTAGGAAACTCTTGTGGGACACTCTTGTAGGACACTCTTGTGGGACACCCTTGTGGGACACTCTTGTAGGACACTCTTGTGGGACACTCTTGTCGAACACTCTTAAGGGACACTCTTGTGGGACACTCTTGTGGGACACTCTTGTAGGACACTCTTGTGGGACAGTCTTGTAGGACACTCTTGTGGGACACTCTTGTGGGACACTCTTGTAGGACACTCTTGTGGGATACTCCTGTAGCACACTCTTAAGGGACACTCTTGTGAGACACTCTAGTGGGACACTGTTGCGGGACACTCTTGTGGGACACTTGCAGCTCCCCAGATACTCCGCGTACTAAAGTTGTACTACAAGGTCGCCGCGCACTAAAGTTGCACTACAAAGTCGCCAGTTCTCAGCTTCCAGCTCCACAGATTGCTCCGCGTACTAAAGTTGTACTACCAAGTCACCAGTTCTCATCTTCCAGCTCCCCAGATACTCCGCGTACTAAAGTTGTACTACAAAGTCGCCAGTGCTCGCCTGCATTTCGCGCGCTCGACACGATCTCCGCAGAGGGTTGCGCGGGCAGCCGGCAAATCGCACTCTCGCCTCATTTCGCGCACTCGACACGCACGATCTCCGCAGAGGGTGGTACGGACGAATCGCACTCTCGCCCGCATTTCGCGCGCTCGACACGCACGATCTCCACAAAGGGTTGCGCGTGCATGGGACAAATCGCACTCTCGCCTGCATTTCGCACACTCGACACGCACGATCTCCGCAGAGGGTTGCGCGTCAAGTCTCCAAAACGAGCGCTTCGCACGAGACTTCCTCAAAAACTCACACGTCAAAGTCTGCAAAACGAGCGTTTCGCACGAGACTTCCTCCAAAAGTCAAGCGGAAACACCCATCGGAGCACACACATCACGCAGCCCTGCCAAGCAGTTTCGCGATTCCAGCCCCTCCAAACAACATCCGCTCACACGCCAATCCCAATGTGACAGCGACATTCAACTCTACCACAACTCACATGCACGATTCCCTGCGCCTGCCACGAATCTTTCCGCGTCCACACGTCTAACGCGGCCAAAGTACTGCGCCTGCCACGAAATGTCACCTCCGTCACACCTCGTAACCTCACGATTCCCTGTGCCACGAGAATCGCACTTCCACGCCTCAAAGCCCGCACAAAGTCCTGCGCCTGCCACGAAAAGTGACAATATCGTCTCATGTGAGCTTCAACAAAATTTGCACCACACCATACGTTTGGAATGATTTCGACCCGTTCTGAGCACACTCCCATCCACCAAAATCGCCATTTCAGCTGAGACTTGTCACGAAAACCGAGCTTCGATGCCACACCCTGAAACGCAAATCCCAATGGCACTGCCACATCCAACACCCCAAAAACACGACCCTCCAAATGCTAATCCCAATGGAACTGCGCAGCAATCTGCGGATCTCACAAAACGCTGCGCCTGTGCAGCGAAATGCATCACGTTTCTTGCGCGACATGTTATTGTCATGCAAATCACAATGGAATAGCGGCGCAAACTGATACATCCATGCAAAGTCACTTGCAAAAGCTTCCCCCAATGGCAGCGAATTTGAGACGCGACGACGCAAGCCATGCAAACACAGCTCCAACCCCAGACCCCCAACTATAAACGGGAACCCTTCGCTACGCATTCAGGAAAAAACATGCAGAAAAGATCAAACCCGTATACCGTATAATACAGATGCACGTGTTTGCTTCGTTGTGCTAAGGTAGGACTCAACTAATATAGTGGGTTACTTCATCCTGGGCCAACGTTACATGATAGAGTGATATGCTTCAATCCAGGGCGCTCAAATCATTTCACTGCATTTCACTGCACTCCATCAACCAGTTCAAAACCAGGTTCACCTACAAGCCTTAGTACCTCGCGTTTCCAATCCTCATATCGCTCATATCTGCGCCCTGCCTGGCCTTCTGCCAAATGCGTCGATGGCTCAAGAAGCATCCAATCATGCCCTTGGTGCAAAGCCTCGGGCGCAGAAGCCGCCCCTTTTGGCAACACCCCTCGGCGCATATGCCACCTCTCATCCTACAAGAGGCCCTCCTGGCGCATCTCAGGTTTGGCCTGGCCTTGGTACGGTGCACATTGCAAATGAATTGGGCCCAAACCCATGTGGGTAGCACTCGTTTTTGTCACTGCACAATTCTCGCAAGAGACCAAAGCCATGTCACAGTTATGCCCATGACGAGCGGCCACAAGATGAAAAACAACGGCTGCCAAGACTGATAGATGTGCATGATGGAAGCAACACACTCACAACCATTGAGATAGAGGCCTACGCCGCTGCACACTCAAACGCCATCAATCGGCCATGGGTGGCAAAAACCTGTCCAGCTTGGCACTGTACAGCACTACAGGCTCATGTCCTGCATGAGTCTCCTGTAGGGGTTGCCATCTCATTCGGCAGCGTGGCACATTCGCACGTTGAACCTGAGGGATGTTGTTTTCGAGTGGGGCTACCTGTTTGATGATGTTTGATGCAAACAAAAGGACAGCTCGGGGTATTTGATGCCCATGAGGGCTGAGCATTCAAGAAGAAAAATATCCAGTGAGGTAGTCCAAGGTATTATATAAATAGTTATATGTATTCTATGTTGCAGGATTCTTCTCGCGATTTCTTCTCCAGTTCTTCCCAGCAAAAGAAACAAACAATCCACACCAAATATGTCGCTCTCTCTACCCTCGCGGTGACCTTTGCCCTAAGGCTCGCACACTCAGAAGTCCAATTCACGGACCTTCATCCACTCCGCCACCTCCTCGTCCGTGATGCTTGCGCGGATCTCCTCCAAATCAAGTGAAATGGATCTCCAAATGAGTCAAAACTAGGGCACAACTGGACAGGAAACCCTCTCCATGCCCAACTAGATAGGTGAATTCTTTTAGGGATTCATGTTGGCCCGGTCCAATCTTGCAAATCCTTCATCGAGAGACCGTGTCAGCTCCGTACATTTTAGATGTTCCTTTGTTCTTAGATTCAGCGCTTGACAAACTTCAGGGCCAAAATGAACATTCAGAAGAACTTGTGCTCAAAAAAATCTTGAAACAGCAAAACTAGAGACAATCTATGAAATGGAGTGGGCATGGTGGGTGGGTTTCTCCCTTAACAGGTGGAGACAAGGGCGGATGCTGAATGCTGGAGCCTTCATGCACCGCATGTTCGCCATCGCAAGAGTGTTCGGGCACACTGGTTTTTGCATAGACACAAAGGCCCTTGGCAGCAGCTCCAAACAGTTATGTATATGTGAATTATAATCATATGCAATCATAGTATATATATAATGGTTTCTTTCTCTTTATATTCCCTTTTTGTGATGAACATTTGCACGTGTTTTCCAAGTTTATGTGGATTCCAGCTGCTTTCCAAACAAGCGCATGGTTCCTATAGATAATTCCCTGGTGTGGATGCGGATGTAAAATTGCCGGAAACCCTAAAGAGTCTATGAAATGACCAGCCAAATCTGGACAATTCCAAACGGATATCACTCCTCCAGCATGCCCTTAAATAATCCATTCTCTATTCCTTTCTTGTCCCACTAATGTCCCCTATAGCATGGGGATCACACCGGGCATTCTATAGGATACACGGATCGGCATTTGGTCTTTGATGGTCTTTGTAGCAGGTGTGGTAATGACCCTGAATATGACCCTTTGTACACAGCCTGGTGTTCTCGACGGTGCTTCAGTTCTCCCGTCCTGATGTTTCTTCACCATCTGCTTTAGCACCTCAATAAGCTTCTTCTTGACCTGTTGAAAGCTTTCTCCGAAATTGGGATTCTCCACGTGGATTCTCCAGCAAGCATTGGAGCTCAACCAAGCTTAGCCTCAACCAAAGGGTTTCCTTCAAAACCATCATTAAGCATTGCAATTTGGTGATTTGTTGTTTGATTTGATTGCTCAATGATCTCGATGCTGCAACTCTCATTGGACGCGGGTGGTTGCCGCACAATATCAACATGTGACAACAAACCTCTAATATACAAAGCAACTTCATGGTCCACCTTGATCTTCACAGTGCCTCGAACACAACATGGGGAAGTGGAATAAAGCCGGTTGGTGTTGACAATCTGCCAAAAAGGCCCAAGCCCAAGCCTGTCACTTCCTATGCAAAAAACAGGTTCTTCAGTGTGTCAAACCATCGGATTGACACCGGCCTGGCCAGCACTCCAATAGTCTTCGCCTTGACCGCTTCCGTACTGCTCCTAGCAAGAGAGTAGCTTGGAGCAATGGTTTCTGGGCTTCTTCTCAGGAACAACTGATCTACGATTCTAGGTAGGACACAAATCTAAATTTGTCCATGCTTGCAGGACCTTTGGCACAGTAGCAAACATAATGCAGGCCGCAGGCTCCTCGATCTTTTGTAGCTCCGCATCATCGTCCAAGAAGAATCTTAGCCACCTGTGGTGTGCATGTCAGAACCAGCTGCTATTGTGACAAAGAGCATATGTTCATTGCATAAGTTGCATAACTCCCGATGTCCCGCCCCCAGCTGGCCAAATCATAACCATATCATATCATATCCGAAAATCACGCCTGGCACCTCACGAAAAAAGAGAACCATAGGCTATGAGGGCTCCAAATCTGAGCAACATGTCTTCTTGCGCCATTGGCTCATCTTGACTCTTGACCATGGATATCCCTGTACTTATGGGCTTCGATTGAACACATCGCATGGTCCAAAACCAACTGGTTGAAGATGAATAGACGAGGTGCTGGTAGGACACATCAGCATCCAAGTCGGCACCTTTCTCTCGCTGCTCTTTCGCAGTCTGCCGACCACCTGCGGGTCGTCTTTAGGAGACAGGGACGGGCCAAGCTGGACAAGTCTGTGATGGACATGGCAGGAAAGCATGACACCGACCCTTGTTGATTTTCTGGGTCTCTCCTCCTTTTTGCAACTACCTACGGCTCATCTACGTGTTTGGGGTGTGAGCTCGGGGGGGCACCCAAGCTTGGGATTGGATTGCGGAAGCAAGCACACCAAAAGTGAAAACAGCCGAAGAACAGGCTCACTGCCACCAATGAATACTATGTCAGTCGGTTCAGGATACTATATTCACTATACTATTGAAGGCCATTGCTATTAGGTTGGAGGCCATCGCTATTATATTCTATGGATATCTATGGATCTATTTTGCCAACAAACTCGGGTCCAAGTGCTTCCAACAAATATGACAAGCATCCGATGCGGCCGACTTTGCTGCTGCCACCCTGTGGCTTAGCTCAAGCAAGCAGGCCATCTTGTGGCTTAGCTCTCGGGGTGCAACCGACCAGGTCTCTCAGGGAAAACCAATCCAACTGCAAAACCTCAATGGACTCCCAGGATAAAACAGGAACCCACATGCAATACCTTTGCATATCAACTCTTCAATCTTCAATCCTGCTTAAGTGTCACCTTGCTGCTCTTTGGGTGTTGGCATCCTGGGAGTCATGAAACTGGATTAAAACAATCAATCCAGGCATTGGGTGACTGGCATCACTCAGGCGAAGTAAGTGTTGGCGATCTTGTTGTTCCTGGGGCACGGCGACGAGCAGCTACTGAGTCCTACTGGTCGCCTGTTGGTGGGATGTTCCCTTGAAGTGGTTGATGAGTGTAGTTTAGGGACAATTCAGGATAATCCGTATACATGGACACCATGCAGTGTCGAAACATGGCGCATTTGTGCACTAGAGTTGACATTTGCCCAGGAAATTGGCATCCAAGATGCACGTCCATCTTGTAATCATCTGAGGCAAAATACTTCTGCAACGTGGGCAAGGCCTTGAAGGCCTCGTAGAAGGCCTCCAAAAAGCTCGATAAGTATATAAGGGATCCAAACTCCAAACCAACAGATTTAAAGGTTTCGCCGTTGCAGTTGTAGACAGTCACTTGGACAACGGTATAGCAAGCCATGCAAAATATGTTCTATACTGTATACAGTGTTTCTAACCGATGTGGGCCAACTGACAACGCTGTTTCTTGCACATCATGTGCACACCTGTTACCAGGACCCAATCCGGGGTTTCTCCACACACCCCCTGTATGCGAACTCAACAACTAATTAATAGAAAACAACTGGTCAGGAGTCAGGATCCCTGACAAGGATTGAGAAGGAACATCTCTTTGCATCTATCTAATCCGTCCATCCGGTTTGTGCCTTGCACTTGGGGAACTTCTCGAAGATGTCAGGGGCGCCAATGCGCTCCGCGAGCATCTTGTGTTGGTCCAACCTTGCAGCACAGCAAGAAGGGATGATGCATCTTCAATGGCAAATTGAAACAAGTACAACAACCGATTCTCGCAATGTTGGCAACCGATGAGCATGGCCATGCAACATTGGGTGATGGGTGGTCTCCTGCCGATGTTGAACGATCATCACATGACTACACTCTTCATTCCCGATGTTTTCTTGTTCTAATGATGATGCCTTGAATTGAAGGACGTGAGGCCTTCACTGCAAAATTGTCCTTTAAAGCAAGCACCCCATCAAGCTGTAAAAACAGTTCAGTTCACTTCAACACCGCACCAAAATGGACATTAGTCGCAACAACCCAACTTGGACTCACCTGAAAGTTTCCTTAGCCCAAATGGGTATGGCCCCAACAAAGTTGTTTTATCCAAACCAAATGGAAACCGAAAGCAAGCACGCAGGGTCTGTGTGATCACTCGCTCCAAGGTACATCTCCCAAATATGGAAGTCTGCCACTCCAGGCCCATCAGCTAGGACAAACCACTTTCCGCCACTGGCGTTGCCCTGGCACCAATCAACAGAACTTGTTGAACCTTCGACCTTCAACAGGTTTTTTCTGGTCGGGTTTCCACCTGGACATATGGAGCATCATCAAGCGGGGAACAACCGACATTTGACACGTCAACCTGCTTACAACAGCAAAAAGGGTCTCCTTCGTATTCTTGGTCGAACTGATGAAATCCTACGTATTCTATGCGTGAATTCTAGTTGCTAGCTACTAGGTGGTCGGTAGCAGCCACGGTCGGGTCATTTGCCACGGTCAAAAAAAAGATCCGGCATGAGATGGGGTGAATTAGGGGTCATTCTTCAGGGAGTTCTAATGTCTGACATTGATCGAGCACATACAGTACATAATGTCTGACATTCATCGAGCACATACAGTACATACATGTCACACGTAGGCCTCTCTGTGCTCCACACTTTGACATTGGTTTTCAGTTAGCTCAATTCCCAGGTCGAAAGTGGTGAGGGAACGGCAAGGCGAAAAGGTCGGCGAGAACTGTATGGTTGAACAATGTTTGCAATCTGACGCACAAGCGCGGCAAGTCAGCGGTGGGGAAAAAGAAAAAGGTTTGGGGGACGTAGCATGAGCCACCATGGAATCAAAAAAGAAGGATTGGAACAGCGTACTCAACCGTTGAAGCAGGTACAGGTGGATGATCAGTCCACCCCTCCCTCGTCATACCGTAGCTTCATTGCGTTCGGTGGGTATGATGAGCCGCACGCCCCTGCTTTGAAAACATGGAAAGCCCTTAGGGACAGGGTTTGACACACACACACACACACACGGTGCCGCTTTGCGGCGCTCGTGCGAACGACCTGAATAGGTACCTAAAAAGCCTTAGAAACAAAAGAAAGAAACACAGAAAGAGCAGCGCTAAGAGGGCAAGAGAGAAAGGTAGGAGTAGAAAAAAGTGAATACTTAGCCCTTGACTGGGGTAGGGAAACGAACCTCAACAGCAACCTAAAAAGCCTGAGAGAAAGCCCAACAAACGACGAAAAGCGCAAGAAGGAAAGGGGGGGGGGGCAGGGAGGGGGTGTATGTCCATGTGGGTGTACATGTGTGTGTGTGTCTGAATACTTAGCACTCTAGAGTTACTGATTACTTAGCAGAAATGAATTAAGTGCAATAGTTAGGGAGCGGGAATTTAGTCTTAAACCGCCCGGGTAGAGAAGACTAGAAAAGGGACAACAGAGGGAAAGGCACCGACACACAAGTGTGCCGAGTACCATTTCCCTCTGTTACCCTAATTAGGTAGGGAGTAGAACTCGGCGTGGAGGGGGGGGTTGGGAAACCATGCCTGGCCTCAAGTGGAAATGAATTCCGTTTTTTAGCCCGGCGGCTGTGGTGGCATGTCGTGTAAGCCCGACGGCTTTGTATGCAGTTAATCCAGTGGTGAAAAGAAGTCGGTTAAGAGAATCCAACGAGTGGTGGAAACGAAAAGGCTGTTAGTGAAATTCCTGCATGGCTTCGGCGCCCCTGTCACGGGGATCACACCCAGCACACAAGTGGGACGGCTGAGCGGTTCACACTTTGACATTGGTTTTCAGTTAGCTCAATTCCATTGGTTTTCAGTTAGCTCAATTCCCAGGTCGAAAGTGGTGAGGGAACGGCAAGGCGGAAAGGTCGGCGAGAACTGTATGGTTGAACAATGTTTGCAGTCTGACGCACAAGCGCGGCAAGTCAGCGGTGGGGAACAAAACAGGTTTGGGGGACGTAGCATGAACCACCATGGAATCAAAAAAGAAGGATTGGAACAGCGTACTCAACCGTTGAAGCAGGTACAGGTGGATGATCAGTCCACCCCTCCCTCGTCATACCGTAGCTTCATTGCGTACGGTGGGTGTGACGAGCCGTACGCCCCTGCTTTGAAAACATGGAAAGCCCTTAGGGACAGGGTTTGACACACACACACACACACTAGTCGAGCCTGATTCATGCATTTACATAGTCACTTGACTAAAGTTGACGTTGAAAACTTAAACATCTACAACAAGTGTTCATCCTCATGCAGTCGAGCACAAGTTCATGTAACAGGGAGCAAAAAGGGCGCAGTTCATCCTCAGCTTGAAAGACCTCAAATCTCAGGACGTTCGGGCGCCTTAAAGCTCAAGATCGCCTCGAACTTTGCAAAGGGTGGGCTGCCAGCCTGTGCGCAAAGCAGCGGCAAACAAGGCCGGGCACGGCCGACTCGTGCTATGGGCCAAATGTAGTGTGCAAAGTGTGACTGTCCCAGCGTCCATGAAGACTTCTAGACTTGGGGCACAAGTCACAAGTGTCTAAATGTCAAGAACTCCGATGACATGGTAGTGAACCTATCCGTTCCATTCACTTTGTGAACATCGTTCTAGGGACAAACAACGTGCTTCAACTCTCGTTAAAGTAGGGACAAAATTAACAAAATCTGACTTTGTCAAATAATACCAGAATGCTTGTTGCGGCTCAGCAATAACAGTCCAGCTTCACCACCAAAGCAAGAGCAACCGACAAGCCCTATTCTGAGAAGGTTGAACCCTCTATATCTCTATTGGCCTATGGTGTGATAAACACCTGAATTCGCTACCCAAACTCCGCAGTCCTTAGATGGGAAATCCCCCGTGCAGCCGGGAAACCACTTGTGCTGCTTTGGCATCAAACTCCTCTTTGTTTCTGCACACATTCCTGAGGTCTCCGCCCTGGAAGTTGTTGTGAAAAGCACCCACCATGCAGGATCAACAAACAGCAGGATATGCCATGTGGTGAAAACACACCATGGAAAAGGAACTTGTCCAAGACTTGTACATTGTACATCCGTTTTGCTCCTACAGGGTCCCACGGTCCTTGCTTTGAATCCACGAAGAACAACTCATGTTATGTCTTTGGTTTGTTTCGTCAGGCACCACTCAACGTGGGCCGCAGCTATCTTTGGCCAGCTTCTTGAAGGGGTACACCATGTCGATCATGCCTGAGTGACATGACTTGGCAAAACAGCACATCACGACTCAAAAATCAACAGTGTGGTATCAAAAACCAATTCGCAAATTAGGCTTAGCGAATTGGCCCTGCGTCATCCCAAAAGCAGCTTTACAGTTTGTGCTGTCCCTTCAGTTGCTTTGAGAAGAATTGAGCTCTCAAACCTTTGCCCCCGAAAAGTGTTCCAGCGCTGAAGCAGGCAAATGGCCATTTCGGACATCGTAGATCTCGGCGAGCAACTCCTCTCAAGTCACAGACCAGGTGGAGTTATATAAGTTGGGCCGGGAGGAAGATGTCGAGAATCAAGGCGCCATGAACCTGCTTTTTGTTTCAGGATGTTTCAGGGGGGTCTTGGTTCATCCATCACTTGACAAATCAACGTTCAACATAACATCGAACCGAGCAAGCGAGCAAGCACATCTACTTCTCCTCTCAACTTAATATGTGGAGTTCAGGCTTTGTAAAGGATTTCTTGCCCCACCTCAACAGTATGTGATGGTATGAGTCTGCTTCATTGGGCAAGTAACGTCTTTGCCAAGGAGAGCTCATTAATCATGAAACTGATTGCTCTGGACAATGCTTGCCTGTGGGCCAGGACACACCCAATTGCGACATGAATTAAGAGTCCATAACTGGTGACCAAATGGAAGCAATAAAACAAACATTGGTCACTCCAAGCGCCTTGGGGACCAAAATGAATCCGGCGGCACCCAGCCAGTGGTTTGTGTAGCCAGAGGCGCTGCCTGCTGCTGCGTACCCAACTAACGCGCCTGCGTTCGGATCTTTTGGGCCTCCGTGGTTCCGTTGAGGCCAAACTTGTCGCCCAAATATGAGAGGATTGCATTCCTGGCAGTTGGACGGAGCTTTGGTCCAAGGATTTCTGCATGGCAACATGCAGCTCCGGAAACATGGAAAAGCGGCTTGAAGGAGATTGGTATGGCACCCTTGCGATACCAGCCCCAGAAGTGGTGCTGGTAGCTAAGATTCCTCCGACAGTGGATTGAAATTGTTGCAGTTCAACTGCCGTCAAGTCGCGTCTGGCAAATGCAGGTCTCTCCATCCACGAGGTACGGCAGGTTGGCCAGAGGGTTCATGGCCAAAATGTCTGGCTTGCGACTTTTGAACCAATCTTCACCTGCAGAGTGATACAGGAGCCCACAAGTAGCAAGTGCAACTGCACACCTATGTTTGGGTGTCATGACCCTTCGTGCACTTCTGTTGCTGAGTTCTTATCACTGAAAAGTTGCCCGCAGTAAGGTTTCGTGTCAAAACATGTTAAAACAAAGAATGCGGGTCCCATGGCTGCCGTGCCCAAGCGAGATAATCGTCACTGGATGCAGGAACGGCACCGCTAGTGTACTGCTTGTCGACATATTTGGCCTCCTTGTACTGCAAAAGCATCCGGAAGACCTTACACCGCCATGTTCAAAAGTGACCAGCTGGAGCATATTTACAGAAAAGCTGCTCTACGCTACATCAGGTCGAACAAAAAGCACATATTTCATATGTCAGAAATGCATCCGTCGTTCGATGACACGTGACAAAGGAGCTCTGTAGGCTTGACCAATTGTTTGTTGTAGTATTTGCAGGTTAAGGTTACTTACTGAAGTAGCCTCATGCCATGCTGACGCGTGCTGACGCATTCCAGATTTCACCTACGTGCTACACCTCGTCCTGACTGGCTCATCAGCTGCTCAGACTGGCTCATCCTCTCCAAGGGGCTGCTCCCAACCCTCGGATCTGCCAGTAGCCGAACTCCATGGGCGCACCCGGCGCCGTGGACCCCGCGTAGGCCATGGAAGGCGAGAGCTGCGTGGTTTACCACGTTCTTCGCGTCAAAAAGGGGCCGGAAGAGGCTGCGGGCTTCAACGCCTTTAATGGGGGATGGTGGATGAGGTGGGGTCCCCGATGGGGAGACAATGTGAGAAGAAAGTAATGGTCATGATCAATGATTCAAACACATGTACAGTATCGATCAGTATTGAGCATATTGAAACAGAAATTCCATCCACGTGGAAATCACTTGGTGTTGGCACGCAACAGCTGCAGTTATAAGTTATAACCATTCGTGTTGAAAACGCACGAGAGCTGTTCTCCAATTGTATATCCGTGATCTGCCCACAAAGGACTCATTGTGGTGTGGTCGCCATGGATTCCAAAGGTTCACGATCAAAGCTGGGTGGGCTTGGAACAGCAGTAAGCCAATCAAATGGGGGCTTATTGCCAGTTGCCAGTGCCTGTACAGAAGCAAAGAGGGACCATCAAGAATTCAATGAACTATATAAATTCTAAACGTCCAACTGAGAAACAAACCAAAACTGCATGACAGGCATAGCATTAACATCATAAGTTGGGTGTGTCATGGTCTGTATATCATATCAGTGTTTATGATAATATATATATGATACATTAACCTCCCCCCACAAGTCTATCACAAGTCGATGTGTGCTTGTGAAGGCCTGAGAAAGCATATTTTGTGATCTTCTTTTCGATGTCCTCAGGTGTGTCAGTGAGGAAGATCGCCTCGGGACAGAGTTCGAATAAAAACGAACTGGACGCACGGATCCTGTACTAAAAAAGGGTATCCTTGGACGTGAGTATTGTGAAACCCAGCACATGGCTTAACCAAGTGTCCGAAGGACAAAGAATTTGTTCCAACAACTTTTGTCAAGACTTGTTCATGAGACTTGTTCATGCGCAAGTGATTAAAAACAAATCCGACACAAATTCGAGATTTTGCGCAAATAACGCAAGAATGGCATCCATGCTTCAATTGAAAGATCGACATGTGTCGATGTGTGTGCCATCGGCATAGTGAAAAACGATCAACTTGGGTAGACTGTTGTGAGTAAAACGTGAAACGTGTTATATACTACTATATAAATCAAAAGCCAAAAAAAGGAAGGCTTTCTGCGGACATATGTGTGCAAAGGAGAAGACTGGCCTCGGCTAATCAACATCATTCAAATCAGTATGTAAATGTATAAGTCAAAGCATATTTTGATAGGCTGGCAGGACCTATTGCATATCCCAGCTGATGTTATTCGGCTTCACAGCTTCGGGAGCTTAGCATAGCTTAGCTATCTTAGCTGGTCTCGGTCTAGCCCACTAGACCACTGGTCTGGTCAAGGAGCCGAGTTCTCGTCGGAGGCGGCCATCTTGCCTTCTGCACCCGTCAAGGGCGGGAAGAATTTGCAGTGGATCAAGGATGGCTTTCCTTTCAGTGGATGATCCTTCCTCAATTTTCCCGCTGCAGCGGCAGAGCGTATCGCACTGGGTGACTGGAGTCATGATAGTGATGGAAATCATCGTGGTCTTGCCGGCAATCCTGTGCCGTAGCATGTTGAAAAGGAGGAAGCAATATCAACCATCAATGAACATCATGTTTTCTTTCAACCCTCGACAGCTGTCCCAACACAGCTCAGCTTCACCCCGAGACGAAGGTGGGACAATTCCATCCACGTGTGAGGTGAAACAAAAGTCGCGCACCAAAACTCATCAAACCTCTGATGCTTCATGATGGTTCAAGGCAAATTTAACAACAAGCCGGTTTCTGGATAATTCCTGGGACTGTGGAATTCGATTCATTGATCTTCCATGCTAACTAGCGTTCCCAACCATGCCTGCTGGTGTCAGACGAGTCGCGGGACCAGCTTGTGCGCAATATCTCGGGTGACCTTGACTCAAGCGAGTTGAAGTGTTAAAAATAGAATCTTGGAGGTGAAGGATGTGTGAACTAGCCGGGAAGCCTTAAAGCTCTTCTTCAGTGCAGCTACAGTACCCCAAATAAATGAAACGAGATGAATCTTAGGACTGCTTCATGGGATCATCTTGATCTCCGGACCAGTTTTTGCCGGTACCTTCCAGGTGCCGATCTTCCAAAACAGCCGCAACCCATATTCCAAACAAAAATTCATTCGACGGATGCAAACCGTGATACTCTGATTCCCACCACCCATGCCAAGCAACCCTGAAGTATGGATCTTGATCGATGGCACATGGGATCCTGATCGGCAATGCGGTTCGGGCTGCAAACTTACACAGAAACATCATCAAAGCTGTTAACTACATACGTTTGGCTATTATATAGATTTATATGGGGGAAACGTTCAAACAGCTTCTATGCCTGGGTAGTGGCCTTCTACGTTGTTCAACAATGTTTTGCAAACACATCAGGTATGCCTTGCATCCATCTGACAGGATTTCAGAGCCGCTGGAGTGACCCCCCAGGCTTAAACCACAAACACCGCTTGGACATCTCATCCTGAGTCATAGCCATGGCACAGGCAAGGCAAATGCTGGTCGCCCTTGAAGGGTACGTTGAAGGAAGATGGGAAAGAAGGCACGGCCTCCGATGAAACGCACAAATATCCATGTATGGATGGACGGGTGGCACATGGCGTTGATCTTGCTGAACTCATCTGTTGAACGAAGTGTGTGTGTGTGTGTCTGTGTTACCACATACGTGTACACGTCATACATGTGTGTGATCGACAAAACCATACATAGGTTATGTTGCATCATACACATGTCGCGACATTGAGATAGGACCTGTTGGTTGGCATCACATGACCAACCATGGACATTAGGATCATCAGGCATTGGGATCTTAAACAAAAATGTGTGAAACCACCAAACACTTGTTTGGCAGGTACTACATGTCTGCCTGGACCGCAGGAAAGGCAGACTGCCCGATGTTGGACTCACCAACAAAACCAAAGGCCTCGGAGCTGCAAAAGGGAGTCATTGATATCCAAAACAACTCAAATAAATAATCAACAATGATGATCAGCGATGATCAAAAGCAACGCAAGTCTCTAAACCAAATATGATTTGTTCAGTTCAACATCTATCGACATATTTTGCAACATCTCGAAAGCACAAAATATTTGGACCCATGGCATGCAAGAAAAGCAACTGTTACAAGGTCCGCAGCCCAGCTTGATTCGATCGACGAGTGACACCTCTGGCAGTGTTGTAGGTGATGGCTTTCCAGACCCTCACGATGTTCGGGTACATATGTCCAACCTTGCATCAACTTGAGGCCAGGGGTTCGGGCAAAGAGGGATAGCGAAAAAGTAATAAACAAAAGGGCCAAAAGAAGGATGTAGAGGAGGATGTAAAGGGAGGACGTGGAGGAAGGGCCCCAAGTTCGGCATCAACTCGCTAACTGAAACGGATCGTGGTGGAAGGGCTGATGGTCAATATAAACACTTAAACCCTCCCCCTATTGGGACCAAGCCGGAGTCCAACCCAAAGAAGGTGGGCCATGGAATTGATGTATTCACGTGGTAGGCAAATCCGGTCAAAAGCCTAAACCTTATCCAGTTAGCTAATGCCAGGTTTCGTGAATCTTCTAGAGAATTCCGCAGGGCGTTTAAGGTGTCTCAAATCACCTCGGTCAACTGCTGGTAAACAAGCAAAACGGCAACTCCATAGGTTTCTCAAATCAGCTTCACTGAGGATAGGATTGGCTGCTTGTACATTTTTCTGTAGCGGCCACGCAACCATTGGACCAATAACATGCTACCTCACAAGCGGTCACTTATATGTGCTAATTGTTAATTAATGCAATCGGGCAACGTATTCCAGGTCAGAAAATATGAATGTTTTTTTCTTGTCGAAACCACAGGCAATGATGTCCTTTGCATTCTCAATGGTGAAGCGCTTGTAGACATGCCTTACGAAAGCAACGAAAGCATCAAAGAACGCTGACAATTTGCAATGGCCTCTCTTCCAACGTCTTCCAACATCCAGGTCGGCCAAGGCACAAGTTGTCTCCTTTTTCTGGGTCATACTCACCCTGGCAACAGGCATTCATACAACCTCTTGGATCACGGGTTTTGTGCCTCCGCCCAGTGCTACACTCAGGCCAAACACAGCAGGCCTTCCAAAGGAATTTCTCGTCGTCGGTCATTTGGATCACCAAGGGAACATCAAAAGCTTTTTGGAGCCACCTGAGTGCCATGCGAGCGACCCGCCCATCCATGAGGTGGACCTTCTTCATCCCTCCATCAACTTCACGGCAATTCACAGGGGCTTCGTGACCAAGGGGACGGAGAGATTGCACGACATGTGAGCATCGCGTCACGTTCAGAGTTGCGAGGAGTATATACAACATGTTCTGCAGGGTTGCTGTCCAAGCAGCTGGGTGAACATAAAAGGCAACAAGTGGCCCAAGTGCATGGCCTTAGGAGCAGCGACATACTGCCCGCAGTCCCGTGGCCGGGGGAGGAACGGCATCAACAACAGCCACGTTCAATGACACATCGTTACTTCAAAGACCTTAGCATATCAATATATACACAATTGGATACATACACACACAGCAAGCCACAACCAAATAGATATCTGATATACTCATAACCCAAAAACAATTATATATACAATGTGAGTGTACGTCCTGAGTTCCTTCCTCCGCGCAGGTGGAGTGCATTTTTCAGCAACAGGCAAGGGGTCACTACATCCACTATAATATCTCCAAGTTGCAGCAGAGCTTGGCCCTCGCCCAGTGTAGAGGTAAAAGGGTTTGCCTTTCTCCTCACAAAAAGACACTGAGAAAAAACAAATTGCAAAGGATCAGGATGCCTTCCTCATTTGGGAACTCATCATTTTCCACATCCAAGTGGGGGTTGTCAGAAACTGGTTACAGTTACAGTAACTTAAATCACCTGACTGCGGTTTGAATGCGTGAGGCCTACGTAGCTCACGAGCCATGTATTCTGTGGCAGTCCAGCGGCATCCAGTTTGGCTAAAATTTAGGACCATGGTATGGTGCAAACTCTCAGCCAGGATCCTCAATCCTTGGACCATAAATTCTTGCGGTGCGCTTCGAAGCTGACAGGTATAGGGGATGCTAAACTGCAGCATGCGCTCAGATTTGTTACTAGTAGCTTCTTGCTCCTAGTAGCTTCTTGTTACTACTAGTAAGGCACTTGTTACTAGTAGCGATGCACTTGTTACTAGTCGCTTCTTGTTACTTAGCCACCCAGGGTCCTGCAGCGCGCAAATGGCATCCAGCTCACGATGCGAGAAGAAAATGTTCCGGCGCCTCAGCCCGAATTCACACTCGATGAATCCTAATAGCGAGCGCCTCCAACCTACTAGCTATTAGATTGATCCGGCTCATTCATTCTCTAACTGTTATATACACAACAATTCGTTATCATGCCACGACTCCTTCTATTGACCCCACGCTCTGACATGGCTTCAGCTCCACTACGCAGGTGCATCCGAATGCTTCGGACGGTCCTTTCCAACGGTGTAAATCCCGTCAAAGCGGTTTGTCCAAGTCACAGCCAGCAATGGAGATCGGACACTCGGCCTGGCCAGTGGTTGTCACACCGGTCGTGACCACGACCGGGGAGTCCTGAGTCCCGTTCTGAACGCAATGGATTCAACAATGCAACCCGATAACAGGTATCAGTAATTATGCAGGTTGCAGTACATGTTTTGTTGTATTGGTGCAGTGGCAAAGGAATGTGATTCTTTGGCGGTCAGCATCGTTGGCCTCAACTGCCATACATTGTATTGCCCGGCTAGGTGAATCGTTTGCCTATGTGCCCAAAAACACCCTAACAATTGCGGTTTGAGCTGGTCTCCGCTCCTATTAACACATGCAAGTTGGATGAAAACTACACTTGACATGTTGGCAAGTCTATCCAATGAACCGTGCCCGCGACGGCCGGTCTTAGCCTGAGCCCACCGTGATCTTTCGGATTCGCTCCAGCAAGTCATCTGAGATTTTGGTGGAGCCAAAATCACCTCAAATCGGCGAGAACCAATCCACACCAGAAATGCTCAAATAGTGGTCATGAGTCAATGGCGGGTGGAATTCTTCTAGTTTAGATTCTATGCAAAAAGCTAAGGGATCCAAAGGTGGTGCTGAACACGGGGTTCTATGCTGATTTCAAACACTTTTGAAAGGACAAACCAACACGTTGGCAGCCGGCCAATTCTAGTGCGCATATTTTGGAAGCTCAGCTCTGATCCCTATCCCCTGAGGACCAAGATCGGGATCGAGGTCTCGGCAAAAGAACACAACTGCTGGCCACCAACAAGACCGAAAACAACCCGGCTCCGCCCTCTGAGTTGGTCCTGGTTTAGCATTCTTGAATGCCCTCTTCAGTGCTCGATGCAAAAGAAATGCGGTCAACATGCAGCAAAGTGGCGGATTAATTTCTCATAGTCGATTTTGCCTCAGATCAGCTCATCCTCCTAGAACATCAACGCCATCTGGTCACAAAATCTCAGTGAACCGAACCCCGAACCCCTGAAACACGTGATTGATATACGTTGCCTTTTACCGTGGATCGTACGGGCTTGGTGGATCGTTCGGGCTTCGACTAGAGCAAAGGCCAGCTACGCACACCCTGTTTGAGACGCAGGTTGACGGTAATTAGCGGAGGATAACATAATAGTTAATTATAACAAATATGGATGCCTCCGGTCCAACTCGTGGCGAGGCTGTTGCAAAGAGACCATCAAAACTCGTGGCTCAAAGTCCAACAATGTTGGACAATTCGCCTTGACAACATCCAGCTTGTGTTTTTGTTTACAGGTGCGCGGGAATTTTCTGCAACCCAAATCGCCACAATCGCGGTGCTAGATTGGTGTTTCTGGTGCCGAGCAGCCCTTGACCGACCAAGGATCCACCACCATCTCTCCTTCGGCCTGAGGGGGGCGCTTTGGCAAGTATGGCAGATGCGTGGCGGTGGTTTCGGCTGCTTCAAAGCACTCCGAAGCCCAAACTTCAAGAACTCTTGCAAATTGGGGGAACTGATCACAACACTGGGGGAAAGCACTGCTTTTTTCTAAGGAGTTTTCGCTTCCACTACTAATGCGATCTCATTGCGGGTCTTCCCTACATACTCTCAACCTTCACTTGATGGAGAGCAGCTTCGATGAACCACGTAATGCGCCGTGCAGTTGGCTGCAAACTTCCACTCTCAAAATATTACCACTTTGGGGCCCTTCTCTGAGACATGCCGGTTCTGTGTGTTCCAGCCTGGCCCTTGGGTCGCTGATGAGGTTTTGCATGGTTTTGCAAAATCAATCAAACTTATACATCTTGAGCTTGTGTCGGGGGCAGCCTACATGACTCGCGTGATGAACCAAGACATACAAACATGCGCCAATTGCGTGACCCCAGTCTTTCACAACATGCCCGAAAGATGTTGCTGCCTTGACCTCCTCTGTGACGCTCTTGGCCGCCTTACTAGCTGGCTCCTCGACATGCTTAGCTCCGGAACCAGCTAAAGATATTCACATGGATGGACAAACAATGTGTTATTGTATAAACCGTACATGTTCAATGAACATGAGAAATTAAAGGGTAAACACAGGTCACAGGCTGCCCCAAGAAGCCGCAGCCGCAATCTCTTGGTTGGGAGCTTCCATCAAAAGTGTTTTGAACAACTTCGCTTGGAGAGGCAAGGTCCCTACATCGAATAGGTCCCTACATCGAAATGCTTTGGTTGCTGGCTCATTCCCCAAAAAAATCAGGCCAATGAAACTCCTGGGTTTATCCCAACGGGACACAAACATATGTAGTCATCGTGACCATTTGAGGCATCACTAACCTCTACTTATACCCCCCAACCTAGGTTGGCGCAGAAATCGTTTATCGACAGTCTGCAACTCCTCCTTAGCTTCATCTTTCACATCCACGCCCAGGACTTCCACACCTTAGGCCACTTAAACTCGCGTGTTGCCGAACCACCTCCAAAGTACCTACCCCTGTTCAAAGGGGGAAGGTAGACTCTGCATGCACCGAAGAGATCCTCATTGGCTGAAGGGGTCCTCATTGCCTGAGACAATCACCTTGGTCCTTTGGGGCGTCATGGTGGCTCACGGTGGCAACCCAAGATAGCAACAACAGCAGCCAGGGAGAGAAAAACAAAAACCAAAGGAACCTGAAGTCCGTTTTCGATCCAAACACATGGATCCAAATAGGTTGGTTCCCAGATTCCTGTGTCAAGATTGGGGTCACATACATGTAGACCGTCAGAAAACCAAGTGGGTGGCCTCTTCCTTGCGTTCACCCAGCGTAGGTTTTATGAGGCTTTGATCCACACAGGCCAATGGGGTTTGGCACAAAATACTGAGCTTTATCATGTAAAAGTGAAGGTAACACAATTCATGTACCATTTGGATCCGCACGCATTGGAACCTATGCTGAATGGGTCCAGCCACGGACGCTCTTGTCGGTCAAGGCTTTGGCCTCGTCCTCAGTTCAACCAGAGCGCGAGGGGGCAATGAGTGCCACAATTGTCTGGTGCCTGAGGTAGTCACCGGGTAGTCAGGCAACGAGGTATAGCTTACAATCAGGATAGCTTAATTACACGAGGGGACTAATTACAGGTGGCATCATGAAATGAGTGCGACTCAAATAACTATCTGGATTCAACAAAAAACAAGTAAATAATTGAAAAACTGTGAACACCTTTGGCATTTATGCTTTTTATTGTTGTGGGCCACTTGTGGCAGCCAAGGATCCTCTGAAGGCATCTCTCCACCAATATCTGCAGCGGGTGCGTCAGGATTCCCGACACTGAATTTCACAAAGACCTGCTTTTTCTTGGCCTTGGTCACAAACGACCGAAGGAGCAAGTCTGCCCCAACACGATCGGATTGGATAATGGGATTATAAAGGTCCAAGCTTGAAGAATGCTGCCAAAGCATGGAGGGATTATGAGGGATTACTACGCGGCTATGCGATTGCAAAATTACATTTCAGTAACCACGCAGCAGTAAGCGTCACCTACTGAGCCAAATCTTCAGCCTAATGAGCCTCTTTAGCCGTCAGGAACTCCGGTGTTCTGGGGGATCATGATCTCAATCTCTAAATTCACAACGGATAGCAGAACATGGCAGAACCTATGTCCACTGTCACTATGGGACAGGTTGAGCAGGACATGATTGGCATCATCTCATCCAGCTCCCGGATGGAGATCACAACTCGCCAGCTCCAACTTGCATTTTGAATCTGCAGTGCGAGACCATCTCTAAGACTCTAAGACTAGGACCATGATCATTGTATCAGGCTTCTTCTTGGATCCAGCTTCCACCTCTCGTGCTAAGAACTCAATCTTGCCGCAGTCCTCGGCTTCGAAAACATCATGGCTCCGGTTCAACACCCTAAGTTGGGGCACATTTGATTGATTTCACAATTATGGATTAGCAAAACGATGATTGGCCCATATTGGCCTCATAGTTGAGTAACAATATATAACAAAAACAATCACCGGTTTGCCGTAAAATTTTGCAAGTGAAGGTCCAAAGGCGACAGTTGCCAAGCATGGTAAGCCTTACCAACATGGCAAGTGGGTAAACAGCCCTTCTGCATTCTGCATGACCATCACATTGAAAGCGTTGTGCAAACATATGCAAACATCAAGCCCCAGAGCCTTGGCTGTGGCGACACAAGTTGAACATCCCAAAGGCCCAGCTCGGCTATTGAAAGACATAGTGCACAAACCCAGCGCCTACAGCCTACGATCATTGTTATATTTGATGTGCAGTAATTAACTGTTCAAGTGGTTCTTCTCTTTCTTACCTTATCCGGCTGGAACCCACATGGCCCCGCGTGGCCAAGTATCGGAAGTACTGGCACACAAGGACCAGTTGTTGGGGATCTCAACCAAGGCGGCCCCCGGCAAGTGCGCTAACCCTGGCCAGTGAATAAACCCTGGCCTGGTGCTTGGTTCCCACAAGCAGCTGGTGAAACTGTGATCATGTCATCAACCACGAGAAACAAGTGGCATGGCTTGACCATGGCAAATATCGACAAGGATGGGAACACGATCTTCACATACCAGGGTTATTCTACATGAGTCGTTTCTATGTCTCTCTCTCTCTCTCTCCTTATGTGTGTATAAGGAGAAATATGTATATGTATATATATATATATGTGTGTGTATATTTATGTGTATATATATAAATGTATGTATACATATGTATATATATAATATATATATATCTGATGGTTTCTGTGGGGCCACTTCTTTGGGGACGTATGTGGCACGGCAGGTCGTGAATCGTCCCTTCTTGGGCACTCAAGCAACCAAGACCGACAAAACAACTAGAGCAGTAAAGCAGCATCATGCATATTTGTTGTCCCAGTTGCATGAACTTCTTAAGGTGTTGCCTGTTGCAAGAACATTTGGGTATTTCATGGGCATCACCTAGTGAACATGGACGTCTACCGGAGCTGAATTGTCGTATCTCTCAACCACCCTGCCCTGGCGATCTTCAAACGGCACTGATAGGTTCAAACAGCCAAGATCAACGCTGCAATTCCATACCGGAATCTGTATGAACATGTTTTTCGGCCGAAGCCCAAACCGTTTCAGTGCCAAACAGCAACTGCATGCCGGCCACACGCAGCCGGTCCGGCCGTTGGGACTTCGGCTCGTAGATGTCTTCGCCGTACTTCTTCTCTGCATCGGCCTGGTCGCATCCGGTCTGCATCGGAGTTCATCGGAGTTCAACACATTACATGACATGACGTGTTTGTTTCCAAGATGTTGAGCATCCAACAGGTATCCGTCGTTTGTCCTTCAATTTCGGCCGTGTGTCCATACCAGCGCTGCTGATTTGTCTTCTTTCTCCCTCTCTCTATCTCTCTGTGTCTGTCACGCTGACCTGCCTTTGTAATCTTGGTTCCTTGGAGTTGGTTGATCACTTTCTAATCAGCCTGTTGCACCTGCGTTCCTTTGTTCTTGCGATGATGCCTCTGGTGCTGCTTCTTGGCTGGCCACTCGGTGCTGCTGGCTGTCTACTGCTTTGGTTGTTCATGCCGTAGTCAACAACAATCTTCCCGGGTCAGGCCTTGTCCATCTCAAACACCGCGATCCGGCCGCCAGCCGCTAGGCGATTGGTTTCTGCCTCTAAGGCTATCAGCAGCGCATTATGGGCGTCCTGGCCGACACATCTTCTGGTCTACACACCTATGCCGTGAGAAGCGGTGGACATTAAGATATCCAACCACTCAGCACGGGTTCATGGCATCATTTATTCCAAGTGTTCAGACCCATGGCATAGAACCAAAGAGATTCCATTGAGTTCTTCTAACCGTTTCTTTCTGATTTTCGCGTATATGCACATTGAGCCTATCCCATTACCAGTATATATCAGTGGATGATGATGATTATTATGATGATGATGATGATCAACAATAGTGATGATTGTTTGTCGACTGTTACAGGTATATAATAGGACAAACCCACATATATGCACACATTATCCAAACAATGGACATATGATGACATATGACATATGATCATAGACTCCCCACCTCTTCTTTCCACTGCACCCCGACACCATTTTATGTCTGGCCTCCTTTGGAAAGGGCTCTCGGGAGGTGCCCTCAAAGGACATCGTGATCTTCGAGCATCCGGGCTCAGTGACCCAAATGGGCTGCAGCTCTCCGCCGCAAGGGCCCGGTGAGAGGCCTTGAGGGCAAAAAGTATGTATAGCGTCTAAAGGTGAAAAAAAAAAACACATTTAAAAAACAACAAACATGGCTTGAAAGTCAATGCTACCAAAATGCCACTGTAACATCACCCCTTTGGTCATTGGCTCAGACGTTCACACCACAATGGAGTGACCTTGCTGAAGCAGTGGCTGTTGATCCAACTAGAGATGCACTGATGGTTCATTCGACTAGGACTTAGAGATAGGCCCTTGGAGAAAGTCGTGTGGCTAGTGTGGTGGCATTCTCATGGAGGGGGTCACCTCAAAACATCCTCAACATGATCAATCATCCAAAGAGTTGGACTTGTTAAGTTTTCAGGTACGATTTGGGCGCAAAACTCTACACCCATGTGACCCCTTGGTGCATCCCTGGCCTAGCACTCTCGCGGCTGCACCACGCACAAGCAAGGATGCGGTGGCCAGTGCTGGTGGAGGTGGTGGCGGCAAGGGTCGTGGCTTCTTGGCTTTGGGCTTCGCTTCAGCCTGCAAACAAAGATCAACAGGTGGTCAAGAGGGCAAAAGTTGTAATCTGTGATCATCGCAAACCATGCTGACAACATGATGACACGTGACCGCAAAGGTTTATTTGTCCAGTGCTGATTGAACACCCATTCAGCCTTCGGGTGTTCAATCGTCCACCCACCAAAAGTGAAGTTTGAACCACGAACGGAAGGTTGAGGTACAACTATTCTGTCTTGTTATGGCTGTTATGGTGTCAATTCCAGAATCCAAAGGGCAGCCTGCAAAACACACCATGATCTAGAAGAACAAGTACAAATCCGGAAGGCAACACAACATGGAGCAGGCTGCCCAGGCAGCTGCTAAGGGTATGCAGGATAAAAACTGCTCCAATTGAAGCAACAATAACAAAGAGGATGGAGTCAACCCTTCAGTTGCAGCGTAAAGTCTAAAAAGGCCATGGTTGGCATACGCCTTTAACGTTTGCCATTCATTCGTTTTTTCTGTGTTTCTTATGTTTTCTGAAGGGGAAGAGCTTTCAGCTTTCAGTTTTCAATTGAGATCTTCAAATTCTATAAACAACGGTTGCGGAACTATGCTGCAGAACTGCTCTAAAATAGAGAGAAAGGATTATGTGGTTGCCCGATATGTTCGTAAGCTGCCTCCAAGGAACACATGTTCATCTATGGTTCATGAGTTACCAGCACAAAGTTCTTGGAAATGACAGAATTTTGAGCTATATGGTGCAGGGTTCTTACTCATCAAGCCGCAATAACCGAAGAACTCCTAACACCTGGCACCGATCCTGCGGACCGTCTGGTCACGTCATGGATCCTTATGAAGCTCTGGTCACTCTGGCCTCATTAAAGCGAGGCAAGCGCCCTGAGATTCCAATAGCAATTGCATTCGTGGCTTTGCCGAAGCAACTGTTGTTAGACTGGACTAGGAACTTGAGAGAAAAACTGTTTAAACACCCTCTGAAAGGTCTTGGAAGCCTTCGGTCGTGGAAGCAAGTGCACCTCCCGCAAATGGAGCAAAGTACCAACCCCAATATACCCCAACACTCCAGCAGCCAGCCCAGCAGTCCTCTGGATATCCTTCAGCCATGCCGTGACAGCCTTGGTCACACACACACACAAACTGGAAATCCTGAACGCTACGAGGGGCTCCTGGCATCGCATGGACGCTACTAGGGGCTCTCCTGGCCATGCTACTAGTGGCCGGACGCTCGGTGGAGACTTCAGCTTCTACCCATAGTACTTCGACCGCGTGCTGCGGCAGCGAGACTTCGGTTCAATGTGGGAAGCAATTCCTTCAGAGAGGCCGAGCAAAGAACGGCCGAGCGCCACTTTCCCCAGGGTCAACTCATAGACGTGAGGGTCCTGCATCTTAAAACATATAAGGAAATATATGGCTCTGAGACATGGCACCTGGTCAACACTCTAAAAGGTATACCGTACCTGTTCGCCATGTACAGTATGTGCACTGTTCCTCAGCATCGCAATTCAATCTCCACCTAATTGGCACAACCCCCCAAATGCTTGCACTCTTGCAACACAAGCTGTAGGTGCCTAACTATCAATCTATCGGTACACATGATTCGAATTCATCTCTCTCGCTCTTCATTGCCAATATAATCCAATGTTCATCGACAATTGAGATTCTTCCAGATCAAGGGTTTCTCCCCCAAACAACGAGAACCAGGTGTACACTCGGCAAGTCTCCGGACTTAGCACGCCCATGGGCAAATACATCCGGGTCTGAATTTGCCTCTTATCCGGGTGGCGATGGGGGGCGTGTCACATCATGGAAATCCCATCATTTGCAGTCAGCAATCTTTCACACAACCTAGTGCGGGTGCTCATGTGGGCACCTCATGGCACCTCCAAAAAAGAACCTTCAGCCCAGCGACGCGTCTGAAAGTGCTGGACCAACGTCCGAAAGCGGTGAACAGTTCGGACCAACGCCGTGGCGACGAGGAAATTGCTGTATCCTGGCTGAACCTGTAAGATCCCTTGATTGATGTCATAAAAAAACTTCACAGTTGCTCAAGTAGACTTGGTAGTGAAACATGTTTCACTGGCTCTCCAAGTCTGTGCCCCACATGAGAACAAATCTAGGGAACTTGTCCGGGGTTGCGGGCACTGGCTTTGCAAACGGCTCCTGTGATGGAGGAAGCAACTGCTGAATTGTGGTCTGAAGCGATGACATCTTATGCTCTCAAATGACTCAAATGAGGAAAGTCAAAGCCTTTGTAGCCAAAACTTGAACTGCCAAAGCAGGAGTAGAAGAATAAGCAATCGTTGGCGTACACGCTACCATAAGGGCGTCACTTTAGTGTCACCTGTCACTGGGTGGCAACATGTTTGTATGTGTCATTAAAGCAGTTGAAGCATGACACCAACGCAAAACACATTCATAGCCTGGAGAAACTCCAGCGCGTACATACATCACTCCGAAAACGGACCGTGTGTTGCTTCGTTTCGTGATCACCTGGTGCAGTTGAGCGACTGTCTCGATCGCTAAAAGAGAACACACAAAGTCAGCAAAGGTGTTTGGAGCATGATGATCTATAGCATGGTTTAGCTAAATATCCTGATAAACCCGATTTTGGGCATGACAAGTACCGGATAACAAAGGAACTTCAGTCTTTCAAAACCCTCCAAGAAACAAGTGGCCTGAACAAAGCACAAAGCCCTGAATCCATGTTGGCCGGTGTATGCAAACGTCTGGATCTCCGGCTGGAGAAGAAGGACCTCTTGAGGGGCGTGTGCCATCTTCTAATTGCCTTCCTTCCTGGGACCATGCTGAAGTGCACAAGCCCTGAATGCTGGTCGAGCCCTGAGCTGCCACACCACCGAGCTGACCCTGAGCCGATCCGGTTTGAAGGTGTCGAGTTAACCGCCAGAGTTCGAGACTCACGAGTGCGGAAGAGTATGGATTTGAACACCAAAAAGACTACGACTACAAGTGACTACATCCGTTTTGAACAAACAATCGTTTTGAGAGGGACTGGAGGGGAACAAACATGTACTGCGAATTGGTTTCAGTGAACACCTCGACCTTGGGGACTCCTGTCAAAACATCTTCCTACAATGACTGCTTGGCCAGCTAATTGTTCATTGTATAAAAATTTGACAGAGAGGAAAAGGTTTTTGCATTTTATAGGGACTCATTGATGGGTGATGTCAAAACGGTTTGTAGAAAACTCCCAGCCTTCAGTAAGCAACTAGGAAACCCGTAGTAGAACACCTATCCTGAGCACCTACAGAGTACCACCTGTAGACCCTGTCTTTGTCCATCGATCCTGCGTGACGAGTTCCACCTGTAGAGGCATTAATGACTTTTAATTCTACTACTAGTAGTAAGAATGCTCCTAGTAGCGATGCCAGGAGCCCCTAGTAGCGTCCTTCAAATGTAAAAACACTTTAGAAGCATCTTGAATCTTAACAATTTAGCGATGGCCTGCAACCGAATAGCATGGAACATTCTCACTCAGTGAAGTTCGTTTCTACTGTTTCTCATGCGTCTGTGCCACCCAGTCATCCTCACATATCCTATCGAATCATTCCTCAACTTCTGGCTGCTTCCGGAAAGGACTTGTCCTCCACGGCGCAAACCTGTGACCGAGGAGCGCGTGGCGAACTTCTTCAACTCCTCCGCGCTCAAGGCCTTGCCGTCCGTCCCCGAAAAGCGCTCCACCTGCGCAGCTCGGTGCTTTTTGGGAAGACAAGTTTCATGGAGGATCTCTCTCTCTCTCTCTCTAGTAGCAAATTCGTTACTAGGAGCAAGGACGCTACTACTAGCAAAGGGGATCGCTACTAGGATTCCCTCCTTCCTTCCTTCCTTCCTTCCTTCCTTCCCTCCGCCCTCTATACAAGTTCAGCACTCTGTTGAAAGCGAGATGATGGTCTGGCGTTTGCCAAACAAGAGTTTCAGCCAGCTGCTTCATTAGTGGAGCAACCACCGGGTTGCAAAACGAAAAAGTTTCAGTAACTGCGCACTATTGAAAAAGGCAAAAGCACACACCGGCGCAACTAGGCGAGAAGACTCTCAGTGGTCAAAGAAAACAAACAACAAAAGTCAAGATTTCCCCGGCCCTCCCAACTCACATCCAGCCTGCACTCCTTCTCGTCTAAACTCTTCCTGGCAGCGGCGGTTTGGTTCAGCTCGCTGAAACGATACGACCACAACCTCCGCCGGCACCGTTTTTGCTCTTTGATCTCTCACATTAACCTAACCAAGCTCGAAGACGATGATCAAATAGTCATACCATACCCTCCTCCCCTCAAAACCTTAGTCTTGTGGGTGAAAAACTCCATTATATTATGTGTTTTTTGTCTTTTTAAAGGCACCCGCCAACTTCCTGAAGACACGAAGAGACCGTCCTGTGCCGATTCCCAACGCTGTGGACTGCGATCCAAGTTCACCACCAGGATCTTTGGCGTCGAAATGGCGGTGCCTCACCAGTGCTGGAGAGGGCCTTTGTCAGTTGGTCCAATCCAGCGAACAGCCTGGGCCTAGGCTGACGTTGGGTCTAAGGTTTGGGGTAGCTGGTGGCATCTGGTGGCATCCCACATCAATCCACTGAATGAAAGCATTGTAAAAATAAGGGGTCTGGCAAATCCAAGACAAACACCAATCTTCTATGTCTGCATTTACTTCGCCCAAACTCACTTAGAAAAAGAACAAACAACGACAAACAATAAACATCATGAATCACTGACGGGTGCTTAGCAGGGAATGAGGGAATGATCCCCCACTACAGATTCCCTAAGATCCAACCACCCTTATTGCCTTATTACTAAGCGACCAGTAAGATCATAAAGCAACAACCTGCAACCAGTGCCTCCGCTGCTCTTTGTCTCTGTCTCCGCTGGCCGAAGGCATTTCCCGAAGCGATGCTTGACAACTGCGCCGCTGCGGCGTGGGCCCGAGGACCAAGTCATGCACAGCGCCATGTATGGTGATTCAGGTGTATTGGGCGGTGAATGGTGAACACCAAATCGAAGTGGAACATCCAACATACATTGAGTTCTTCCATCTAAATCCACTCTTAGGACCGCTTGGCATGAGCTAACAGAACCCAGCTGACTGATCGTGCTGTGATCTACTTGCCAACATATCTCGACTATGTAATACTATATATAGTTACCGGGATTACACAACATGTCAATGCATGCCAACGCCCATGCCATAGGTGACAATTGTGACCAAAAAACACCTGTTCACGCATGTGTTTAATGATAAATTTCACAACTGTTAAAACAGTTTGCACAATCTAAACAACTCCCAGCGCAAGACCCACACCCTGCGGCCTTTACTTCTCCTGCGGCTCTCCCGCAGGCACAGCAGCCCTGCACCCACACAGCCCGCCAAGGCAGCATCGCAGGGGCGCCCGAAGCATGGGGTGTCAGACCTGAGGTGCGTTCGTCCCGGACGAATGGGAACATGTGAGAGCGGGAAACCCCACTGGTTCACTCGCCCTTAGAGTCGGAGAAGCTGAGGAAGAAGTCCTTCGAAGAGTGATGTAAGAGAAAAAACAACATTGCAAAATTGCAAAACATTGCAAACACAATCAAAGAGACTTTAATAGAATCACTTCTGGTCTTACAGGGCGCTTTTCGAAAGGCTCTGAGCCACTTCATCGGCCCGATGAGACCCCAGCTGTGCATGAGGTACTTGAAGATGAAGCGGAGGAGCTGTTCGCGGAGGCGCCTCGGGTCAAGCTTGGCTCCGGCAGCCGGTACCAAGGTAACTGCTGCTACAATCTCCCTGATAGGGGAATCACAATGAACAAGGGCCCTTGAGGCATGATGCTGGTGAACCAAAGCTCCACCGTTTCCCCGTGGTCCACTACATATACCTTCGGCACCGACTTTCAGCAATGGAAGAACCATGGAAGCAACACATTCCTACATTCCTTCTTCAACCAATGTCTCTGTAAACTTTGCCATATTTCAATAAGACCTTTACAATATATACCCTGTGTATGCAAACAAGTAAAAACATTAAGAAAACACACACATATTTATATATATGTCTATATTATATAGTACACATATGTTTTGAGGTCCAGATGTCTTTAGGTGTCTTTCACACATGGCTTAAGCATAGGACCTTGAAACAAACCTGTGTTTCCTGCAAAGCTGTTCCAAGTAGCACTACCTTCCCTCTCGGTTTGAACCAAGCTGCCCTTGCAGCCAGGAAGGCTAAACCAAACGCCTGTGGCAGAATGGACGCCAGTAATGATGGATCTTAAAATCTTAAACAACAAACTTTCTCCACTTCCTGGCAAATGATTCAGGGAGTCTAGTTCCCCCAAAAAAAATTAGCAGCAGCAGCAGTAGCAGGAGGAGATAGAGGGGGAGGAGGAGAGAAAGGCCAATAGACAACGAAGCTCAAATGTGTTCCTAGAGCTGTAAGTTTGGGCATTACCTCCGCCTCCTCTAACAATACATACAATTCACTTCCCCCTGGCTTGGAGCAATGTTGTTGATGGGTTTGAAACAAGGGTTCTTGAAAACGGTTTTCAGGTCAGAGTTCCAGGAATCAAGCAAAGGCTCGGAAGAGGTTAAGCAAGGATGTGAAAAAGGAATCAATAGAAAACTAAGTCACTAAGTCCATTAAAAGGAAACCTTGGCTCAAAATATGTATAACTATTATATACAGTATATATATATATATATTCAGGGTGTGGTAAATTCCAGGAAAACTGAAGAGAAATCTTCCCTCCCCGTTGATTGCTCAGCATCCAACATTTACATTAAACCAGCAAGTTGGGAAACTGCAAAATGTTCCCTGGGGGGGTTCCAGGTCCGGCCGACAGAACCTCAGCGCCAACATACATGTTCCAGCATTGAAACATTTTGCAAAATGGAGAACATCTCTAGAGGCCGACGTTCATTGGTCCATTGGAACAAAACACAATTTAACTTTAAAAGTCCACTGAATTTAGAACTGACACACCCGGCCATATACTCTACTCAACTTGACAAGGCAAAAAATGATGCC